AGAGAGAGAGAGAGAGTGACTGCTCGATTGAAATGATGACATTGTTCTTTTCTTTAAATTGTGATTCCTCCAACTCCAAAAACGGAGGAAAAACAATCATTCATCGAAAAGACATCCGCAATCTTCATTTAGATCTAGAGATCTTGGCTAACCTCGCAACTAGATCAATGATTTATGTCAGTCTGTCTAGGTCTAGGCCATGGCCATAATATGATAAAGCTAGAAGAACCTAGGTCTAGGCATACCCTAAGTCCCTGAGCCAAGAGGGCGCTGAAACTTTCCGAAATCACAAAAGAGTTCCCCTACCCGGTCTGTATACTTTGTGACTTTGTTCCCGGTTACCGGGTCTGTATACACTCCCTTCTTTATTATATTTTCCAGGGGGGCAAGCCCCCCTGAACCCCCCCACCCCACTGTTGGTACGATACACGGTGGTCCACCAAAGTTAAATCCCCTGCCCACTCTCAACCACCACCTCTCGCTCACCTCGCCTCGCCAGTCGCCGCTGACTTCGCTGTGCGTGCGCGAAGCCGCCCGCGGAACTACCTTTTGTCCGCACGCAGAGTACTATGAGTGCGTAGTTAGGCTAGGCGTGCGTAGTAATCACGGGCCGAGACGGGTGGTCCGGTAAAATACAATCCAGCCAATAAAGAGATTAGAATTAGAGATAAGATTGGAGGAAATCTCGAGTTTTAGATTTTAGGAGAGGAGGCCAGGCTTGAAAGTAATGAAAGTTGAGTTTGAGAGAGAAAAACTTACGGATTTCTGCAGCTCTCCAAGCCATACGGAAGCCTTCTCTTTTCCAGTAACATCGGGGTTGTTGTAGAGAGCTTGCAACGCTTGATTTACAGTCTCTATTGAGGGTGCCGAATCCATCTATAAACTGGAAATACTTCGTAACCTATAGTCCCTTTGATAATTTTATCAAGTTGTAGGAACTTCCACACCGGCCAAACCGGAAGTAGAAACACGATAGGACAATCCAGTTCCGGGGTGAATGCCAATGCCTTTACATCGGAAGAAGATGTGTGTTGCTTCGAACAACTTCGGTTTACAAGTATTCAATTATTTGTCCTAGGTTCAGAATTATTTATAATTATCAGTGAAGGTCAACTATATTATAGATCTACTGCTCTTTGAGAGCGTGATTTGAATGTTTGAAAAAGAAGAAGAAACCACCACTGTTTGTTATCTGTTTGTTGTACTGTTAACTCTCTCTCTCTCTCTCTCTCTCTCTC